AATCAGTTACCTTTTGCTGTAGTTAAGCTATTTCTACTGACATACGGCATTGAATCGACGAAATCTTGTATTTATTCTAGAATGGACCACAAGAATCCTTCAGATATTCAATTTTATTCGAGCAAAACTACGTTCTTTTAATATTTTTGACGTAAGTTCATATTTTTTGCTCAATTTTTATGTTAGATATAATGGTGTGTACATGTAAGTGTTGGATTCGAAGTCTTTTGCTTCAAAAATTAGCAGGCTATGAGAACGTTCAAATAAAAATGATTAAAATAATCCAAAATGCATCGTAGGGTTCAAGTTTTTACATTTTTTGCATTATTTTTTGGTAGAAAAAAATTTTTCAAAATGTCTGTGAATTTTCTTGATCAAATACGACCGTATGAGATAAAACTCTAGCTATAATACATAGGAGTGAGACGAATTTTTTTATAAGTCAGATTCAAGTACAAAGCTGAAACGATTATCTTACATCATGAAACTTGTATTGTAAAGTTCCTCGTCTACTGCTGCCATCTAAAAGTAAATATACATTTAGTTTTTCTTCTAAATGTGATGTAGAATAGGAGCAAGATTATAGTATGAATCTTCTGTCGACTTCTCTTCATTAAGATAACATGAGTCAATGACACAATTCTAGCATTGCTGAGTGTTTACAAGATCGAGTTTCTGAATTGGTTAAGATATTGTTATGTTTAATAAATTCTAATTACGAAGCTATAAGGGTGAAGACACAAAAATAAATCGAAAACATGAATGACAAATCCAACGCTTCTTTTTTGATGAAAGACGTAGCATAACATACACACAAATTTTGTCTGATATAAGGATGATCCGGATCATCAACGGATTGGTATTATTGGTACACGTTTCTACGTATTTCTGTTTGCAATATGTGTCGTTACAATGACATTTTACTTATGGATTGCTGTCCACACGCTTACCTTTACAATTTCATACCCATCACAGACAACTTTCGAGCGTCTACACAATGACTTTCCACTAACACTTACGTGTCCTTGTTCTCAGGTGGCTATACCTCATGATCAAATGATGATTGTTTCTTCTCTACGCTATCATCAGGTAAGGGTACAATCACGCAGGAAACTCTTATGTTTTAAAGTCCTCCAAATGATAAAAACTGCCAGTTTGAACTTTTAAGGATTATCGACTTTATTCAATCTAACGAACATATTGATTAGTCGGAGATACTTATCTTTACTTTACGAAAGAAAACCATATGTGTCATTCTCAATGGGTCTTTTACTTTCACACTCGAGAGAATCATTCCGGACGATATCTCGAATTTCATCTATTGCAGAAATAGATAAAACTTTCTGTCTCGGTAGATGCAATATAGTTCCTAGTTCAATATTTGTCACGCTAAAAGGAGCCTACTGCTATATACTCAAAATTTTCAAATTTTCTCATCACTTTAAGAGCTGTTGTCAATCATAATTCCAATGGAGTAGTGCATGGGAAAGAATGCTTTCAGGTTTCTTCTGATTCCCACAAACTCCATGTAATGATTGAGGTCTAATCTGAAATACGAACTATTCGTTACAGAGGATTATAAAGAAGAAAATCCTTTAAACTGCTAAAATATGAATATAATTTTGCGTTTTTGTGACTCTTAAAATGAAATGCAAATATTCAAGTTAACGTTCGAAATCAAGTATGAATTAGTTTAGATATCTTTTACGTATAGTAAAACATGTCTAGACTGAAAATTGTTATATTGTCATGAAGGAAAAGATAATAGAAATACAATATTGAACATTTTATATATTTTGTCTAAAGAATCTGAACGATTTTAATAAACTCAGTAGATAATACTGAAGCGACTATATAATTACCCTTAGAAATCATATATCGCTATTTTAATTAATATGAACTATTTTGAATTAACATTTTTAGCTTTGTACAAGCATGTTTCTGAGTACAGTTTGGCTAAATGGTTATTTTCAAATGAATTTTTCCAATACGTCCGAACAGTGGCTCTTACCGATCACAGATTTTCGAAACGGTGGACATCGCTTTTTTCTTGCATATGCAATCACTTGTCAATGGGCTATAAACACAGTCATTGATGCTCAACAAGTATTTTTTAAGGACACATTTGTCAATAGTCATGCACTTTCAGGTAAAAATTAAGACAGTTATTAATAGAAAGTTTTTTTAATTAGAAAATCGAAGTTCGCTTTTTGAGAGAATCATAATAGAATAGAAAAAAAACTGTAATATTTTTTGGTATGAATATTTTTAGCCTCTGAATTTAAGACACGGTCAGACTTACTCATCAGCACGTTTCAAAAGCAGACAGCTAATAATATTGGATTATTATCATCATTAATATATCTGTCTGTTGTTTCGAGTGGAATTGAAAGTGGTGCGGTCTATGAAACATTATTTGTCAACAACTCATGGATGATATTCCATAATTCACCACCACCGCCAGCGTTCAACGTGTGTACTTGTAGTGTAGCTTCTGAATGTATAATTGGAAAAATGGGTTTTCAATGTATTCTTGGAAACAATTGTACGAAAGATACTACGGTTTGGACGATACCAGGTGTAGTCTTGACTTGCACTTATTATGAAAGTATACTTACATCCGATCTACGATGCTTCTATGATCAAGCATGTTTCGACACTGTTCTTTCAATGTACAATGTTGACATGCCAGATAGACTTCCTTTGCCTTCATTTGTACGTTATCTACCTATACTCAACAAATTAGCTCCATCACGCTTTTCACCAACCGATAGTCTTCATACATTATATAATAACCTTATGGTAGAAGAATGGAATATTACAGGTAATTTTGATGGGTACTATAAAGCATGCGCGCCAGTTAGCTGCACTTATTCATCTGCTCAGCGATTAAACATCATTGATCTTGTTACAACAATCGTCAGCCTTATTGGTGGTCTTACTGTTTCATTACGCCTTCTAATTCAATTGGCAACACGAGTTATTCCTGTGATCATAACATGGTGGCAAAATCAACACACTGTTGCAGATCATCCGGAAATAATCAGGCGTACAAGTATGAGACTATTCTTGAAATGACACTGAATTAGCAGGATGAGATGCTCATGAAGCTAATGTAGAAAAATCATAGGATAAAAAGATTTAAACTATGTCAAAAAAATAATAACATTCATTAGATTTCTCTTTGACCTAGGACGTTTGTCCGTTTTTAATTCGAAAATAAAAGCGAAAATTTAAAAGCAAAGATGTCCACATTGACAAACAAAACTGAATTACTGTGAATTTATTCACCGTCCTTGACCCTAGGATTACATGAAAAAGAGACAGAAGAATTTATGTGTTTCTAGTTTCCTATCATTTAGAATAGTTGTAGAACTCGACAATCAGAACCTTTGATTCATCAGTAATGGAATATGTCATTGAATATAAGAAAAGTTAAATACAATCTATATTTAAAAAAATATTTTTAGACAGATTTATGTTTTCATATAATATAATCTAAGATTATCTCGTAGACATTGGACATCAAATAATGACCAGTTTTATCTATATTAAACAATGGTTCTCAAACATGAACTTGTTCAAGAAAGAATCATGCACCAGTCAAATGGAAAGACATTATCCGATGGCGACCGTTGCAAGTCGTATCTACATGATAATGTTCACTTTATGCATTGTCATTCTTGTTATTTGCAATGGCTTGGACGAGACAACAGTTACAGTGACTGTACAATCACCATCCCTTACTACATTTGAACAAATACAAGCCAAATATTCGACTGAATTGTCATGCCCATGTAAACAAATTGGTATAACTTATAGAAGATTTCTTTCAATGAAAGCCACTTATCATCAAGTAAGATGGAAAGAACTTTTTCTCTGCTCTGAAACTATAAGTTTTGTAGAATTAGTGATTAAGGAACTTTCGAACACTGTGTTGGAATAATTTCTATAAAAGAAAAACAGATGTTCCCTGAATTTTTTTAAATTTCTTAACACAAATTGTAAGATGTACCAATTTGTCGTGAATTATGCGACCAAAAATAGTAACAAAAAGATAGGCGACAGCAAGTCTTTTTCAGTCGCACACATATACAAAAAAATGTTAACACTGTTAATGAAAACGAGTAGAGTATTGGTAACTATAAACCTATCAATATACGTTGGAGGTGATATTCGAGAACTGTACGAATGATACTGAAAAGGACGTAATAATACAAACGGAACAATGTTGTACAAGTTTTTTGTGACGGTATCAAACCAAGGAACATCTATAAGAAGTAAACAAAAAATGCATTCAGGATCAAGTTTTGTGCTGTACTAAGAAAACACTTTTACGGTCTGTAAGTAATTGTAGATTACTTATCTATAATAGTTTCTTGTATTATTCATTTTCGAGTAAAGCTTTATTGTTTTTGTGAAAAAAGTTGTAACTGAAAGTTAAAAATATCAGGCTAAGAAAATTATGGAGACTGAAGCTATGATGAGCAACATAGTGCGTACATAGAAATCTCTAAGCTTTTAGATTTCAATCGTTTTGACTGTAAAAATTCATCTTGAACTCAAATTAAGCTGAAAATACTTTTAAGGACAATGTATAAGTGAGACATAGTTTAGTAGAAATACATAAAATGCTTCAAAAATTACTAAGACTAAGACAATAAATTGATTATGCATATTTGACAATAAGATTTGTATTATAATTAAAAATACTATTTGTTTTCGAGGTATGTTCGAGTCCATTTATCACTCCAATATGGACAACATCATTGTATGGTTATGGTAAGGATGTCAAAGTGTATCGAGAATTCGATCGACCTTTTCTCAGCAGACAATATCAAATATTGGGCATGCTTTGTGACATGTCACAATCGGTTGTCTATAATACTCTATCGAATTTTAATAACACATTATTAGTAACAGCTTTAGTACTATCTCGAGCATCTTTCGAATCACAAATTGAAGTTATTCTCCATCAATTAATCGATACGGTACCATTACAATTTCAGCGAACTATCACTTTCGCAATGGAACTCATTCAAAGTAATTTAATTCCGACCTCTTTCAATACGGATTGGTTTATTGAATATGGAAATGCGTCAAATGACTATCTTTTGCGATTTATACCGCGATTATATAATAATGATACATGTAATTGTGTTGTTTCATCAACTTGTCAAGAACCTTTACAGATAGGTCCTCCTAATCTTATTTTACCTGGTCTTGTTATTGGCTGCTCACCCATGAATGCTTTACGTATTTCAACACTTGAATGCATGTTTTCAATGAATTGTGTCAATAGAATCCTCAGTTATCTTAACTACTATACAGAGTTAGATGGATCACTACCCTCGAATTTCACTCCATCTACAACATTACCTTTTATTATTCATCCGCTTAATCAATCGATTCCATCACGTTTTCTACCGACTGCACCGATTGGTACACTAATTGATGAACTGTTTATTGAAGATTGGCAAAATATTAGTTTATATGAAAATTATTTTGCTGCTTGTCAACCTACTATGTGCCAATACAAGTATATTCAACGCAATAATATATTGCTTGTGGTTACATCTTTACTTGGTTTGTATGGTGGACTCACGGTTAGCTTACGATTCCTAGTATGGTACGGGATCTGTCTATATCGATGGATAAAATTTTCTAATCATGTTCATTCTGAAACAGCTGTACCACGTATAAATACAGTCTAAATGATTACACTTATGGCACAGGTTTAACTGAATATAACAGTTTTTAAAGATGCTTACATTTTCCTTATAAATTTCTCTTTCAGAACAGTCTATTCTAATCTTCATCAATATATAATCTTGTATGTTGTCAATTACTTTATATATATATTTCTGAAATAAAATATTTTTTCCCATAACAAAAAATACTTATGCCATTTTATCAAAAGATTGACCTCAAAGAAAAGTTTTTTTAGCCAGAGTAGCACATTTAGCTGTGTTGTTCTGCTTGGGCAAAAAAAATACAACGTCCTATATCAAACTATCTGAGTAAGAAGATAGACTTAGAAAAAGTCGTTCAAGTCAATATTGAAGATATATATCAACAGCGTTAGAATATACTTTCTGTTGGAAGAGTTCACGAAACAGCACAACAATAGATATATTATATCATGGCTCATCACATATGCGAGATTGGTTATCGATACTTAATCATAGTGAATTTGCTCTAATATTTGATAAACTCTTTCCCATTTCACTAGATGGTCTTATGGATAAAGGTAAAAAAGATAATATCATCAACAAGATTGTTCTACCAACTTGTACACTAAAGATTGCTGCATTTTTCGAGCTGTCAATATTGCTCTACATGAATAGAAGAATACTATGAAGCAGTGAGAAACTGATTGTAAACAGGAAGAAGAAATACTCTTCCAACCTAGAAGAAGATTTCGATTAATTGCAGTACAATATAATAATCTTACTCGTCGACTTAGATGAACTATTCATATTACATGGAGAAAAAGAAATATTTTTTTCAAATGTTCTAAAAAGAAAAGAACGATGTAAAAAAAATAATGTTGAACATTATGAAAAGGTCATAAAAATGATTATCTTAAACAAATCTTCTAAGAAAATTGAATCACGTCGTATATGATAAAATATTCATACACTAAAATAACGTTTTACTTTCTATTTCTTAGATGTGGTTGTACACAAATTTGTTACATTGTTTATGAAGCACCTCCATGTGTATTTGAAATTCATAAGTTAGATCGACATTAATATCCTAATAGCTAGAAAACAAGTAATACTCGTCGGTGGACTTGCTCAGCTCTTTCTCGTAGAAATACCGTTTCTGCACGCTCCCCATTGACATAAGTAACAGTAGCTAGCTCCACATTTAAATTCTTCTTTTTAAAATTCTTCAAAGAAAGTCTTTCTCTAAACTATGATGACAATGGTATGTTTTACTATCCCTAAGCATTGATTGCCCAAATTTTTCAAAAAAAAAACCATTGCTAATAATAAATAATTCATAATCGATCAAATATAAATTAAGTACAATTGTCTTCAGATTTTGATTCCTCATCCCTAATCATAAAGCTTTTATCAAGTTTTAGAAAAAATATTGATTATTAATTATTAATAGATAAATAAATAATAATTAGTTAAAACTAACCTCATATTCGAACTCTCCACCCTCGATTACCTTTTGGTCAAATTTTATCAAAAATAATCCATTATATCTTTCCGTTGTTTTGGACCAATAAGCAAGCAAACAATTTATTTTCACACGAATCTTCTCTACTAGAAAGAGAACTTTATTTATCAATTAAAATTAATTAATGTTTATCTAAATTTAGCCTCATGTCCTTTAACTATTTAGACATATTTAGTTTTTGTTTTGTTCGAAAAGTTTACAATATACTGTAGATATGACTGATATAATCAGTAAAAATAAATCTATTTACGAATAAATCATTACGAGCCCTTTTGCTAATCATTTATACGTTGATATGCAACTTATTTCGAATTGTTCGTAAATATCGCTTGATA